GTCCCGCCGCGTCCCCGCCTGTGCGCGCTCCCAGCCGCGCCCGCGCACGAGGGCGACTCCGGGGACGCAGGTGAGCGGGGCCGCGCTCGGGCCGCCACCTCAGGGGCCCCAGGTGCCTCAGGGGCCCCAGGACCCAGCCCCTCTGTCCCTGGCGTCCTTTCCTCCTAGGGGGTCGCTCTTGGATCCTGTCGCCACGAGGTTCTCCCCGTTCCCTTTTTGAGAACCGTCTCCCCTTTTAATTGTTTTCCAACCACGGTGACAGATCTGGTTCCTTCAAGGGCTGTCCTTGCGGGGCCGCAGGAGGGGACACCGAGGACTGGAAGGAGGAGGACGGGAGGGGGCTGAGCTCTGGCATGTGACACCTGACGGGGACCCCCACGCACGGGGCATTTCTTCGCAGGGACCGGAGGCGCCGGGCGGCCCCGGAGCGAGCACAACTTCCTCGCCGCCGTGGTGGACAAGGTGGCACCGGCCGTGGTCCACCTGCAGCTGTTCCGCAGGTGACGGGGGCGGCGGGAGGACGTGGCCGCCTTCCCGGTCCAGGCCCCTCAAAGCCTCATGTTTCATTTAATCATGAAAACCACTGCGAGGAAACTGAGGCTCCGACACGCTGATAACCTGTTCGAGGTCATCGAGCCACGGGCATGGGCACGAGGATTGAGTCACTCCTGGGCACTGGGGTGGGCACCGGGGTGGCCGGGCACACTCCCTGCTCTCCCACAGACAGAACCTCAGGTCAGATGTGATAGCTACAGGCATCTTGGTGATGACCTTGCCCAGCCTTCTCGTTTGCGTGCAGGGGACCCAGACCCAGAGGGCAGCATTCATTTGTCCTGTGTCACAAGGCCAGGTGATAGTGGAAACTAAGCCAGAACCAGACCCCTTTGACCTACTGCGACTTGGTCCTGTGGTGCTGGAGCCACTTTGCCCACAGTGTGAGGACTAGGTTCAGCCTCTTGGCAGCAGGGACCCACAGGTTGCTGCACGACCAGCTCTGAAGGAGGGCACAGGGTCCTGGGAACAGGACACGGCTCTTGTCTGTGCTCACGAGAGGCGGTCCGGGCACCGTGTGTGCAGAGTCCACTTATCCACGGAGAAAACGAAAACGGACAGAGAGCGGTGAAATATCCGAGGAAACGGGACAGACGTGTGTCTGAGTGTGAGGTTCCCGTGACTCAGACTGTGGCTCGGTCCCCTCACTTTCTGCCTATTCTGTTGTCTTTTGGAGACAGGTCACCTCTTGGCAGCCAAGACATTCCTGCGTCCAGTGCCTCTGGGTTCATAGTGTCCCAGGATGGGCTCATTGTCACCAACGCACACGTCCTCTCGAACCAGCAGCGGATCCGGGTGGAGCTGCAGAGCGGGGTGCAGTACGAAGCCACTGTCGAGGACGTGGACCATAAACTGGATCTCGCACTGGTGAAGATTGAGCCGAAGGTGAGCGTCTGAGGCCCCTCAGAGTCGGCTAGTTTGGGCTTTTCATCTATTTGCTGATTCCCCCTCCCCTCCCACCCCACATCTTTTCTATCTAGCTCTGTCCGGTTTCTGTTTTTCACTCCCTCTTTTGTTTCTTTTCTTCCTGTCCTATCTGTATGTCCCCAGCAATTTCTGTTCACTACCCAGCACTCTGTTTTTCTTCTCCCGAGACTCCTTGTCCAACAGATGCTGCTTCTGGGGAAATTATTTCCCCGCTTGTCTTAGGATGCCAGAAACAATGGCAGTGAACCCCAAGCACTAAGGAATACTTTGGGGTCCTTGTGCCCAAAGGGTGCTCTGCACACCAGCAGCATTGACATGTCATCCGAGCGCTTTCTAGAAATGCGGCATCTCGAACCTCACCCAGATGTGCAGACTCAGGATCTGCATTTCAATGGCCATGACAGTTTGAAAAGTGCTGCTCCGGATCTCCTTACTGTTTGTGGCTTATTCACTTTAACTGTGAACTTTTGAGCTGGAATTGATGCTGAACCTCACCCAGATGTGCAGACTCAGGATCTGCATTTCAATGGCCATGACAGTTTGAAAAGTGCTGCTCCAGATCTCCTTACTGTTTGTGGCTTATTCACTTTAACTGTGAACTTTTGAGCTGGAATTGATGCTAAGGAAATTGCCAATGTCGGCTTATGTTCAGCAGCTACGTCACTGGTAGTGTATTAATAAAAACTTCTACAAAACAATGATTTTAGACCTTGGAGATGATCCTGATCAGTTTAAGTGAGAGCTTGGTGGTGGTTGGACTTTGAAGAGGAAGGATAAGGCCGTCATAGCTCCCGTGTGGGTGGGTGCTTCTCAGATGACAAGTGCCACCACGACAGAGGTGGTGTCATGTATGTGCTACGCACAAATATCGGTCAGTCCTGCTCCTGATTTGTTCTTAACCCCTTCTGTCCTGCTCCCTCCTTCTGTCCTCCTTGACCACGGGCAGACTGACCTTCCTGTACTGCTGCTGGGAAGATCCTCTGACCTGCGGGCTGGAGAGTTCGTGGTGGCCTTGGGCAGCCCGTTTTCTCTGCAGAACACGGTGACCGCAGGGATTGTCAGCACTACACAGCGAGAGGGCAAAGAGCTGGGGCTGAAGGACTCGGACATGGACTACATCCAGACTGATGCCATAATTAACGTAAGCTACTTAGGAGGTTCGTCCTCAACCCATAAAATCCTGGCAGCACAGTGAGAAGAAAACCTCAGAGCCACCCCCTTTCCCTATGGCCTTTTGGGGATGTCCGGAGTTCAGTTCGATCCTGTGAGAGGAATGGAGTACCACGTTGTTAGAGTTCAGCCTTTTGATATGATAATGGGCATCCATGATATTGGGTGGTCTCTCGGGCCTGCCAGAGAGATGACCGCTGCTGTAGAAGGTGACAGTCCTTTTGCTGTGTCCTTTACCTACACTGACTTCAGTACTGGTGATGGTAGGGGGCGTCATTTAGTCTGCCTTGGGGGAACAGGAGTTCACTCGAGGAGGCTGCTTGTGGTAAACCTCTTTGGGAACTATGTATAAATGACAAGGGGAAATGTGTTCATTGGCTTTACTGATGGCTTTTTCAAATTCTGTCTTCAGCATGGGAATTCCGGGGGGCCCCTGGTGAACTTGGTAAGTGGCTACTTTCCTTGCTACCTCATGTTTCTTCTTAACTTTCAGACTTTACAAACCCCATGATGCAGACTAGGGTACCGCTCTTGTGCAGAGTTGTACAATGATGTTTTTCTGTTCTTGGATCTTGAGTGAATTGTTAGGGAAGATTCAAGGGCTATGATGAATTTCTCATCCTAGTGTGTGATTTCATCCTATGGAGAGCACCAGGCTTCTGGCTTTGACTTACTTCAAAGTTTTTCTCTTCAATATGCTTTCCATTTTCATTGGATAGTTACCAAAAGCCCTGGATATTTAACTCAGATTTATGCCAAATGACCAAGTATGCTGTGTAATGTATATCCTTGAAGACCCCTGCTGCTGCTTATGAAAAACTGTCCCTCAGCTAAAAATGCTAATTACATAATGTGGTCTGTCCAGGTTTTTAGTTTTGACCTGCTTATAGGTGACAGAAAAGCCACAACCAGAATCCATTGTCTGTCATGTATTTTATTCTTAAATTTTATTCAGTGTCTCTAGTGGAAATGCCAGTGTTTTTAATTGTTCAAATACTAGTGAAAACATAAGAGAGTGCAGTGCTGTTTGACATGCAGCCTGGGATCGTGCTTTCTGAGTCTTTTACTCAGCTGATTACTTTTGGTTCCTTTTTAAACACTACATTTGCTCTTAAGAGGACGAATTGTATGTGAAATGATTGGGTGCTTTTTACTCAAAACATTGCATGTAATTTGTTCCTGACTTCTCCATTAGACAATGAATTTACTAGAGCAGCGATGAAATGTAGAATTTCAGTCCACACTCCAGACCAACTGAACTACAAAATGTATTTTAATACAATTGGAAATCTCTTTTCTATCCCTCCCATTACCTAACAAACGCTAAAGGATGACAAAGTGCGCAGAGAGGAAAGTGTTTTCTACTTTCTATCTTTAGCTTAGTGGAGCTTTGTTACCTAAAGTAAATTTTGCTAATTCTTATGAGTGGTTTCATTGAAATGTTGCTGAATATCCAACAGCTTTTTGCCTTTTCATGTTTATTTTTAATTTTATGTAAGTAATAAAAAAGCAAATATTCCTTGTCCTCTTATCTGTGTCAAAATAGAAACTGTGGCTCAGTTTTAAAATCAATGGAAGGGCCGGCCCGTGGCTCACTTGGGAGAGCGTGGTGCTGACAAGTCAAGGGTTAAGATCCCCTTACAGGTCATCTTTAAAAAAAAAAAGAAAATAAAAATAAAAATAATAAATAAAAAAATAAATAAAATCAATGTAACTTACTGAAGGAAAAAATGAACTCAAGATTAAAAAAAATCCTCAGCAGCCTTGACCCTGTGACCTGGGAAAACAGGCGACGCATGTGTCCGCGCAGCTCCCCTCTGCTGTCCTGCCGCACCATTCGCCCGTGAAGTGACATCCGTGGGTCTCTGTGGAAGAGGCACCGATCTCCTGTTGCCTCTCCGTGTTCTGACCCTGACTGACTAGCTTCACCCCCTTCTCTGCTTGTCCTAGTTTTGCCTGTTCCGTTTGCAGAACTTCGGGACTGAACGATGTTTCCTTCCTTGCCAGGATGGGGATGTGATTGGCATAAACACGCTGAAGGTGACTGCGGGAATCTCCTTTGCGATTCCTTCAGATCGAATCAAGCAGTTCTTGGCAGAATACCACGAGCGCCAGCTGAAAGGTAAGAGGACCTGGATGTTTTCATTCTGTCTTTTGTTTTTCAGGAGCACTCAGTCTTTTGTGGAGACGGCTGTTTGAATTCTGTCCTGTAGAGAACTGGGTCACTGGTCCTCAGCTCTTATAATGGTGGTTTGGGTGGCAATATGGGGGGACTAGGCACAAAGCTTGTATGGAACTAGTGTGGAATGAAACCCATGAGCCAGAGGTGAGGAGGTGGGTGGGAGGGGTGGATGCTAATGACCAAGGCTCCTCGGAAGCATCTATTTCTTGGCGGAAAGCCTGAAAGGGCAGCTATAATAGCAAAGAGGTTCTGGGACTCGGGTGTCTTTAAGCTCTGCCAAAGGTAAAGGAGGTTTGGAGTTAGTAACACATTATAACTTTCTTTGCCAGGAAAGGCTTTTTCACAGAAGAAATACCTGGGTCTGCGAATGCTGCCCCTCACTATGAAGTAAGCACGTATTTGAATATGTCTGGGTTGGTTTTCAGAGGCAAAAGCTATGGCAAAAGCTGGACAGTCTTAACAGAAAAGCTAAAGCATTTGGACTGCAGCTAGGTTCTCTGGTGACTGCAGGCCCTGTCTGTCTCAGGTAAGTACCTGCCTCTGCCTGCACCAGCATTAACGCTACGTCGTGTCCCACCGTGGCTGTATTTTATTGCGTCTGATGGTTCAGGCTTTGGCGCAGAGGATCAGACTGCACCCAGGGGGAATGATTGTGATGGGCTTCGTGGAATCCTCAGTGGCTGCCGTGAGTCTTGAGCAGAACAAATGGAGGAGCTGCTAAGAGTTCTAGGCTTTTCCAGGGCTCAGGAGACTAACGCATTGTGTTTCCTCACCTGCTCCCTTCTCTTAGCTTTCTCCAAGACATGAAAAGGCAGGACCCAGACTTCCCTGATGTGAGTTCCGGGGTTTTTGTGTATGAAGTGATTCAAGGAACAGCCGCTGAAAGGTGAGAGGATTGCGGGCCTTGGCCTGGCCACCTTTGTCCTCTCTAGATGCGTGCTGGGGTGAGTGGCTGTAGGACCTGGACTTGCTCTGTGCAGTCCCGTGGCCACTACCTACAGGTAGTGTGTATTGAACACTTGGAATGTGGCCAGCGTGACTGAGGAACTGAATTTTAATTTTATTTATTTACTGATTTTTTGGCAGCTGGCCAGTATGGGCGTCTGAACCCTTGACCTTGGTATTGTAACACTGTGCTTTAACCAACCGAGCTAACTGGCCAGCCCTTAAATTTTATATAATTTTAATTAACTTAAATGAAAAAATCCAGAGGCAGTGTAAAATATTTTTCCGTTAAACATGCCTTTTGTTTTTGGAAGAGCTGCATTTCACCTTAACCACTGCATTGTGTAAGGTGTTGTCATCGTATAGCACCATAGTGGGCATGTGTGTTGTTTCAAGTGGATTTCAAAGACATATGAAACGGAGTGTAAGATGCCTAGTAATAATTAAAGAAGTATTCATTACATGTTAAAATGATAATATTTTGGATATATTGAGTTAAATAAGCTATATTATTAACATTAATTTCATCTGTTTAAAAATTTTAAAAAATGTGACTACTAGAAAATTTAAAGTGACATATGTGGCTTGAATTACATTTCTGTTGGACAGTGCTGATATTTAGACTTGTGTTCTTGTAAAGGCCTTTTTCTGCAGGGGGGGAGGGGGGTGGTTCTCTGTAGCCCAAGAAGATCTCATGAGTTAATAGCCTAAGTTTAAATTAATTTTGCTAGGAATTCCCATATCTACTCTTTCAATATTAACAGTTATTACTTAATAACTATTAGTATTAAGTAATTAATAACTATTAAGTACTAATAACTATTAATAATTACTTAGTTAATAGTTATTATTAGTTAATAATTATTAAGAATGGGAAGAATCCAGAATGTTATGTTTAAGTATATATTTTAGATATTTTAAAACACTTTTCTCTTTGAACTCTGGATGACAGTATCAGAGGCCAGCAAAGTGTAATAAAGCAAAGGCTAGAACAGTCCCCAAGAGAAGGTTCCCCAGCTGATTTCACAGTTATTTTGGAACACTTAACACTAACTACTGCGGGGAGAGGTGGCTTGTCCTACCAGTAGTATTCTTCTGGGCCTCTCTCTTGTACTTCTTTATTACCTCTCTCTTTTTGTTTTTCAAGAGGTCAGTAATCTGTTTAGAGTATGATAACTCTTATTAGGGGGAAAGAAATCACAGGTACTAACTGTTCAGCATAGCTAAGTGTTAGGTCTCATGTTACTAAATTTGGCCTGTTCTAGACTTTCCTGATTCCTGCTCTGCTCCACCCCACACCCGCCCCTTTATTTTTAACTTCTGGTACAGGGCCAGAGCTGTTTCTTTCAGCTAAGTCCTTGCTATTAAAAATGTGGTCTGTAGACCAGTATCATCAGCATCCGCTGGAGCTTGTTAGACATGCAGAATCACAGGCCTCATCCTTAATCCACTGAATCAGAATCTGCATTTTTAACAAGAGCCACAGGTGATTCGTACGTATGCATTAAAATGTGAGAATTACTGCTGGAAGTCACTGGTAAACAGAAATCCATTCTTTCTGGCTTTCACTCAACTTATACCTAATAATAATAATAATTACCATAATAATAGCTGGCACTAATGAAGCATTTACTATATGTCAGGCACCATTTACAGTGTTTCATGTATTTGTTTGAGCCCCCAGTGGTCTTATGATATAGGTATTATTTTACAGAGGAAGCAGTTCTTGTACAGAGAGATTAGTTAACTCATAGCGTTACACAGCAAATCAGAGAGCAGGGGTGTAGACCCTGGATTAACCCTCCGTTTTCCTGCTTTTGTGGCTGCTTTTCTTGTTTCTGAGAGGCAGAGTGATTTAGTGGCAAGAGAATGGATTCTCAAGTCTGAAAGACTCAGGTCCAACTCCTACTTTAGCCTCTTACAAGTTATGTGACATGGCGACCGTCACTTATCCTGTCCGAGCCTTAGTTCTTCCTATTTGGTGCATAGTAGGTACTCAGTAATAATTTGCAGGTTTCTTCTTTTTCTCTTTTCCTGTTCACAGAACTATGAATTAAGTTATTCTTTCCTTGTGCACACTGTCCCAAGTCATCCTCCTAAACTGTGCTTGTTTAAAAGCTTTTCCTGCTTTTAGCTCTGTACTCAAGCTTTTCACACCCTCTTGCTTTAAATTTCCTATTTCATTTTAAACTGCATGTACCTTGGTAATCCTACCACATTATCATTCTTCCTCGACTTTCCCATTTCTCTTAAATGGTGTCTCCTGCAGTCATTTAATTTGATGTTCCTCTTTCAGCCTGTTTTCACATTAAGACAAATAAATCATAGCTCGGCTGAATATCAGTGTTTTGTATTTGGAGCTGGCTTTTGTTTCTAGATTATATACTCTGTGAAGCGAATATGTTGGAGACTAAATATAATCACAGTTTTGGGGAACAGGAGCTGTAAAGCTAGGGCTTACAGACCCCTCGAGTCTGTTGCACAGAGTGGGTCACAAACTCTCCACACGCAGGTCTGTGAGGTAGGTAATAGAAAAAAAAAGGTCCTGGGAGCCGTGGATATAGAATAATGAATGGGTTCTATTCAGATCTAGGAGCAGCTGTCCTAGTGGCTTCTGTGAGAGTTCTGAGAAGCAGCGTGGATCAGAGCTGTTAGTCTTTTATACTTAAGTCCACAGCCCTGGACACCTGGGTGCCCAAACGCAATCACATTAAGTAATAACGAGGTACACCTGAGGACATGTACAGCAAATGCTCGGCAAGACTCTGAACATCTGAGGGGCCCTGACCATTTTCCTATTTTTTCCCAACAGGAGCCCAATACCAGGGTTCTAAATATTTAGACTTAGAAGGCTGACTGGCTTTTGGATTCACTGGAAGCAGAACTTGTATAATGTAACTCAGCAAATTCGCCAATTCCATAAACTGTGGGGAAAGATGGGGCTAGCAGGTGGTCTGTCAAAGTCAGACTGAACAGAGTATCACAGTCTGGGGAAAGGGCATCGCTTGAGCTTTGCATTTTTGTTGGTGAAACCAGGAGTAAGTTTGAAGTTAGCAGGGCCTGAGAGTAATAGAAATTAGAAGCTAAACACCCCATTCCAGACCACACCCAGTATATGGGGGAATACACTTCTTACCCCTGATTCTGATAGGAATTAATTTTATAATGGAAATAGGATCGTTGTCCTTCAGACGTCCTTCAGCATATCATAGAACAGCCTCATATTTGGAAGGATTGAGGCTATTTCTGGTTTCCTGGTTTGTATGTTTAATGCCAGCAAAACACTAGAACCATAAGAGAGAGACAGTAAATTCTAGATGAGGATGGTAAAATTCTTATAGTTTCATGGTCTTTTTCTCTCCCCCTCCAGGTCTGGGTTGCGAGACCACGATGTAATTGTCAGCATAAACGGGCAAGCTGTTACTACCACAAGTGATGTTACTGAAGCTGTTAAGGACAATGATTCCCTTTCCATCGCTGTTCGTCGGGGAAATCAAATTTTATTTCTGACAGTCACACCTGAAATAATCAATTAAGTATCTTGCTTTAAAGAGAGATTATCTAACAAAACCAAAGTTATATTACCTGGTTTGTATTGAAGATGTGCCAAAGATGGCAAGAGGCTTTAGCTTTCTCTTTCTTATAGAGAAAAAGAGATACTTTAAATACACATATATTCAGGGATCACTAGGTTGGGGGTGCTGTACTGCGCTAGGAAGACTCACTAAGCCAGGTGGAAGGAGGACACGGTGTCAGGCGGTCAGGGGAGCTGATAAAATCTTATTTAAAGAAAGGAAACAAAAAACAGGGACAGTTTCTAATTTAACCATGATAGAGGGACCTTTTAGTATTTTGAACCTTCTCTATAGCCACAAACTAGATATAACACACACATACATAAATAGATGTATCCACCAAGTATTTAGAAACAACCTGAATCCCGAGGGCAAAGGTACTCACATTTTTAATAATACGCTTTAATCAGTTTTGCAGGTTGTATCACGTTTGGCCAGGGTTTGTGGATATAGAGTGGGAATTGTTTAGAAGTCAAATTGAAACTGACAATTACCAGTTGTCACACAGGAATGTTACTAATCATTCTTCAATTATCGTCCTAGCAGTGGAAACAACTTTGGTCTCCAACAGTTTTGTGAGAAAGGCTTCTTCTATAAAATAGCTTCTTCAATAATTTATAGACTTCTGGCTTTTTACTCAAGCTCTTCTTCCTGGCAACATTAATTAATGATTTCAAGTCTTGGAGCTGCCAAAGATTTTTAAGAAAACAACTTCTGATGGGTTTTGTGAATATCCTTAGGGAGATTAAAAAAAAAACGTGCGACGAGGCAGAATTTATGTCTTAAAAGTATCTTATTTTGGGTAAGACTTTAATTTTAGTTTTTGTTTTCCAGACTTTCCTTAGAAGTGAGGCTTTTTTTTTTTTTTAAATATGGCATCCCCGAGCCCCCTTAAATTCTATGCAAAATTTTATGTGTATGTCCATATTTCTGGGGAGAGTCTAGTTTCTAAATCCACAATAATTAAAAAAAAAATACTGCCTTAGGGTATAGAGATTATGAATTAAGAGTCTACCTGTACTGGCCACCCACCCCCCGCCACCTGAAAAAAAAAAGAACAAAGAGTCTACTAATTATTATGGTTATAAGCAAGGTTAAGGCCATGGTCAGTGTGGTACAGAACTTTCATGACAGAACAGAATAATATGTTTAAAATTTTTACACAATTGCCATCTTTAATAATGTAAGAACAGTGATCATATTAATCAGCGATGATAATGCAGAAAATCTCAGGCAAGCTGCTACAAAATGATAGAATGTATCCAGGGAAGTTATTTTAACTGTTATTCTTGGTCTTTAAGTCAATTATTCTGAAAGTAAACTTTGAGTAGTTCTACCTGTATTGTTTCTAGAATTTGTAAATTATTCTGAATAGGAGGCTCTTAGTTTGACTTGTCCACAAATTTCACCTTTTATTTATATTTATCAGTTCTTTTCAACTTAGATTGCAAAGGATGGGAACTAAGTTTTTAAAACCACTTATAATTCGGAACATTTCTTTTTATTCCCAGTCCAGTGACTTGGGAATGCAAAAGCTTTTCTGTATCTTTTTCTGCTTGCTGTAGCCCACAGAGAGAGCTTTTAGTACCACGCATATTCTGAGAGAATGTGTTCAGTTTCTCTTTGGACCCATAAATCACATTCCAGTTCCACCCTAGTATTCAATATCCTTTAGGTAAGAAGTTTTTCTTTCCAAGATCATGAGGCTCCTCACTTTATCTTACCTGATCATGAAGAACAGTTTTACAGTTACTTGTATGAAATCTTTTTTATCAGCCTAAAACACGGGTTCCATAAACTGGTAAATACTAATTTTTGGATAGGACAATTCTGCCAAGAGGAATAGCTCAGCTTATATATGTCTGATATGACTGGCTTTCAAAACATAATGGGAATGAAGAAATTAATGTACTGCATATACTGCCCCTGGATCATAAAAATGGCGACCCAAAAGGGTTTATCAGTAGGGTGGATCATTTTGAATGCCTACCTTTCAGAAAAACAAATATAATTTTGAGTTTCATTCTCCCTGCTGAAAATACTCATATGCATTCCAGAATGGCAAAATTTATTTTGCAATTTAAATTCAGAAAGTCAGAATTTCACTGTGTATTAAAATCCATGGCCATTTCCACTTCTGCTGATGATTTTCATTGGCTCAGCTTCAGATCTCCTCTGCATGAAGACTCCGGGCCACAAAAGGCACATGGATAAAAATATTCACTCCGCTCATCGTGGTGGATCCACTTGCTCCAAAGGACTGAAGATATAGCAATGTACAGAAATAAAGAGTATGGAAATCCTTCTGCTGCCTATCGGTTAAGTCACTATCCTTTATATTTTGTACATGAGGAAAGGTATGAATGTGAATCCCACAACACTGTTTGCTTGTCATTTCTAGTCTGCAAGGTGAAATTTGGGTTGAACACCCAAAGTCCAAAGAAGGCTTCTTAACCAAACATTCCCACCAAAGGGGGACAGTAATGGTCAGGGCTGATATCAAAGAAGAATTCTGAGCCTGTAGACATGAATTCCGGAGACAGAGCATTCACTTGCCTCCCCTGGGCCGTAACAGGAGCATTTTAATAAATAGTGCACCAGTTGCTGCCATCACTTGGCATCAGCCCTCCCGTAATAAGCAAAATAAGGTCAACAAACCACCAAATCCCAAGTCCTCCAAGTGTCAACAGCTTCCCTACTGCTGTGCCAGTGTGTCCCAAGCAGAAACGATCTACTCCAAAACATCCCAGGAAGAAGGAGTAGAGTAGAGTGGTTATAAAGTAGTGTCCAGTATACCTAGACAAAAGACATGAAAATTAAAATACTTAAAGATGAATGAATTTAACACAAGTGAAAAGATGGTGCTGCAGTCCCTCTGTGGCCTCTTACCCTCCGTTTTGTATTCTTTCTGATATGGTAAGTCAGGTGCAGCCACAAGAGGAGACACAGGAAAGGCTCAGGAAAAAAACGAAGTTTATTATACTCATAGGTCCTAGACAGGAGGCATGACCCACTATGCAGGGCCACATGGGAAAGGGGAAGGGTTAGGCCTTTACTGGGGTTTCTGTAGGAAAGGCAAGGCAGTGCAGGGCAGGGCAAACAGTTTAGGATTGGCTAGTTTGAATAATTTCAGTGGGCTCCACGGTATAGGGTGGTCCCCAGTTGCCTGGTACCTGGCCCTGGGATGATTAAGGCAGAGGACTATTTTCTCTGGGGTGCACAGACCAGACAGAGGCAGCACAGCCCTGGGATGGTTAGTTTGCATATGAAAGACATGCTCCTGTCTGGGCCCTTTGCTATCTTTAAGACTTCACTAGGCTTGGGAGGGAGAGTCTTTCTCCAACCAGATAGGTTTTTTAAGATGTCAAACAATATACGAAAAATTAAGCAAAATTTTTTCACAATATACTCTCTAACTCCCCAACCCCCAAAACCTCAAGTTGGTCTAGGGTCTCAAAAGAGTATTTGCTAAGATATGTGGAGGACCTCCAAGAATAAACATTGACTTCTGCAGAGCTGGATTGGACAAGAAATTATTAAGCACATTTGCACAATAGGCATCATGGTAGGAGTGGCGTCTGGGCTCCCATTCTGCCCGTCACAGGCTCCTTCCATGAGGCTTAGCCGCCGCCTTCTGAGTGTAGTTCTCTAAGGAAGCACTGTCTTTCCTTAAATGAATACTTGATCTCCATACACCTTTCCTATTGCCTTGTGGAAGCTAAGAGTGGGGACTTCATAAGGCTTCTGTCCTGACACACTGTGATGACATCTAACTGCAGGTGCTCCAATATCACTAAACATAGCCATAGACTCTTTCCATTAGCAAATGGTATAAATAAATTGTGTGCCTTCAAGAATTTACAGAAATGACCCTAATCTATTAAATTGAAGGTAAACTGGTTTTCAGAGTGAAGAGCTGACACTTTTAATGATAAAACCTTTATTCCTAAAATGCTGAGGTGATTTTCAAAGTGTTTATGCCTGTCATAGGGATTTTGGAGTTAGGTTATCTGGTTCAACTCCTTCATTTTGTAGATGAGGGGACAGACTCTGAGTGCCCAAAGGCACTTAGCTAGTTAGTGAAAGAGCCATTTAGAACTTATGACTTCTGGTCTCGAGTCCAGTGTCCTCTGTGCTATAACCACATTGCCTCTGTCAATGGATTATGCACAGTAGTAATCACATTCCCTCTTTAACACTTAAAAGTCACATCAAAAAAACCCCCAAAACAAAACTGAACCCCCCACCCCCCAAAAAAACAAGTACTTCCATCCAAGTACCAACCACCTCATTCAAAGTGACACTTACTTCACACAAGGTTTATTCTCCCTTAGGAATGTCCTAGGACTGGCACACTCAATTCCATCCAGGGCCCGGCACTGAACTGAGGTGTGTTCCACATCACTGTGCGCCTGACCACCGAACTGCAGAATGACAATCCAAACCAAAACAAACAAACATAAACCCACCAAAGTGAGCAACACAAAAATATAACTTTATATTCATTCATAAAAGATGCCTCAGTACTATAATTATTCTAACAAGGTTGGGTAAAGCTGTGCTCAAGAGCAAGAAATTTAGTGATATACTTCAAGCAATTTTAGATGGGTCCATCCTAATGTACACTGTTATCTTTATTTATGTATTTATTTATTTGTGGCAACTGGCCGGTACAGGGATTGAACCCTGGACCTTGGTGTTATCAGCACCATGCTCTAACCAGCTGGGCTAAACAGCCAGCCCTGTCCATTGTTTTAAATAAAGTCCTGTTTTTTTCCCTCCATGACTGGCTTCTTTAATAATATAGTAAAAATATTAGAATCAATTTCATTAAATGCCCTTTAGAAGGGATAGACACAATGCTTTAATTATCCTGTACTTACAGGAAAAAGAACACATAACTGAACATCTGGAAATGGGTATTTAAAAAGCCAATGTGCATTGGAAGTCTGCTTTATATCCATTATAAAGTAACAGAATTAGGGAAGAACTCAGAATATCATCTGACTCAGGGCTTTATTTAGGTCATGAATATGTGATTATCATATATCTGTAGTACATCTACAGTATAAGTTTAAATTGCAGCCAAAAATTTCAGAACTGGGCCTCTTACCCTTTGCTTAGCTGAATTCTAGCAGAGAAATCCCAGCTGTACATTTTTTTACGGCACCTTATTAGTACTTTAGTACTGTTCCCGTTGGAGTGTTCCTCAAAGAGAAGTGCCTGGGAAGTAAGCATGCTCAGTCCTTGCCCTGATAATTGCCAGTCCTTCAGAACTGCCAGGTGAAGTGAGAATTTGTGTGCCTGGACAGGATAAACTCAATTTTTAATTAAAATGGGCAAGAGTAAGTTATCTCTATACAATGCTAATCAAGCTTTTTATCAATAATTATCAGTACAAAATTTCACTGTATTTACAGTATTTCTTTACACATTATTTTGGTAAGAGCTGCCTTTTTGGTCTTATTACTCAGGCTTATTCCTCTGTGTCTGATTTAGTAGAAAAATATTTTCCCGTAATTATCTTAATACCTGATTGAATCTTGACTTGCATTATGCAGCACAACTAATGAAAAGTCCATGGTGGGGAGGAGATGTGTGAACTTCATTGGTTTGTGAGAGACTGACTAGGCAGGGAGACAGAATAGGGCTAGGCCTGTGAACCAAACTGACTCCATTTTTCCTGCACAGGACACTTTGTTAGTTTTCCACTCCTCGGTCAGGAACCACCCCCTCAACACACACATGATTACCCCCATGGCCTGCCCTAATAAAATAAACTGAAATTGGAGGGGAATAGATACTCACTGAGTTGTAAAACCCCACCCCAAGGCTTGTTTACTGTCATTATAAAAATTATGTTACAGATTAAGCTTAAGACCCCCCTTAGAAATTCCCCCATGTGCACAAAGCTTCAAGGTGACCACTACAATAACCTTCCTGGGGTGACGATAACGAACACCACCACCATCTTAGCCCCAATGAGCAGGCGCAAGGACCAAAGCCCTAACTGAGCATGTGCCCATGCTGCAACCATGAAGAACACAATGCGCCACCTCCAGAGGTGCAGAATGATGACTCCGGCCTGCACCCCTTAACCCCTTTCCCTATAAAGGACCTTGAACAACTCTCCTTAGGGGCTAGTGTTCCTGTAGCTACCCCCCCTATGCATAAGTCTATCTCCTCTTTCAATAAAGCATTGCTTGCTTTTATTGCTGGGTGCATTGTTCATTTCTATGACTTTGGGACCCAAGAACCTAATACAGTAACAGTAAGAAGTGTGCACCCAGCTCTACCGATATCATTAATGGAACTGAATGGCTTCTTTCCATTCCAAGACGCCATTGTTACCAAAGGCTTTCCCTGGAAGACTTCTTACAAAGACATATACTGATAGACCCTATCTATATCCTTAGGACATGGTGGAACCTGCTTGCCTTGTGAAATGAAAGGTCATTGGCAAGAGGATCTTCGCCCCAAATGTGTTAGTAACAAAGATATTGCTCTATCCATCATCAGTTTTAGAAAGTATATAGCCTTTCTTCTGCTCTTTCAGGAAAGTGCATGCCTTGATGGATAGCCAGAAGTGACATTTTGGCCTCAAATCTGTCAATCTCAATGGGCAAAGGAACCACAGGTTGGTCTTAGCACCTGGGTGGCTGTGGCACAGAGACTGCTCCTTCCTGAGAAAACCAGATGTCTTGTTCAGCCACTGACCCTGGCCATCCTGGAAATTTCCAGTAATCATTACTCTGACAAAATTCTACAAAAAAGTAACTACATATCCCTTATAGTTTTCTGTAACAGCATTTAGCCGGTTCTATTTCTCTATGGAAGAGTTTGTACAATAAAACAAAAACCCACCTTCAGACAACCATAACCAAGTTCCTGGGATGCAGTTGCATTTCCAACATGATCCACAGGGTCTTCACATTCTATAAATTCCTCGGGTCTGTAAATCACCAGTAAGATCATGATCGTCATTTACCACATGTCTTTGCAAATCGTCTGCATGCACATAATCAAAACAGGCAAGAGACCTTTCTTCACCAAGTTTTCCGGGGTTCAATTTAACTCTGTAGACTCTTTTCCAAGCCAAGAGGTGATGTCAATCAGATGGAAGCACAGCAGGTCAAATTTGCAGCTAGCTATGGCTCTTCTGTTGGGAAAGGGAGGTGTTTCTGGTCCTGTTTCTACATGGATTCTACTCCTGCCATAGCTTCATCTCTTCCCTAGGCAAACAGCCACAGGGCTATGGGGGCAAACTCTAAGCCAAGGGGTTCTCTTTGCATTTCACAAACGCCTTTTCTATTTGATCAAAAAGAGATGTTAAAAAATGGCTGTGGCTCAATGGTTAGCTCAGTTGGTTCGAGCGCGGTGTTGGAACACCAAGGACAGGGTTCGGATCCGCGTTCCCGCCAGCCTCAAAAAAAAAAAAAAGGCTTGGTTCTGCAACGGCAAGGATGTTGCTTTTAAAAAAGACGTGCCTTGCAGTCAGGGACAGGTCATTGATCCCGTTTGTGCCTCACTCAGTACGGTGGATTCTCCTTTACCAAAGGGCGCAGGGAGCAGAAGGCTCGGCCCGGTCCCCTCCTCCAGAGGCTATGTGCTGTCACTCCTCCCTAGTTCCCTTTCGGGATCCCAAAGAACCTGTCCCCGACACACCAGGTGTCTCCGCATGGGTGACAGGCGTGAGAATCCCGTCACGGTAGTCACCTCCCGCGTGTCGACGCCCGGGTCCTCACGCGGAGAAGGTCTGAAAAAGGCCGTCCCCGCCGCCCCTGCCTCCCCCCACACCCACCTATCCCCGCCCGGGCTCCACGTCCACCCGCCTCGCCAACTGCGCAGCTACCAAGTAGGAGCAGAGGGTGACTGGAGAGCTGGAGGGGGCGGGGCTGCGCTCCCCTCTGCTTCCCGGTTCCTCTTTGGGTCTCACGCTCCTCCTCCTTTAGGGGGCGGGGCTGCGCTCCCCTCTGCTTCCCGGTTCCTCTTTGGGTCTCACGCTCCTCCTCCTTTAGGGGGCGGGGCTGCGCTCCCCTCTGCTTCCCGGTTCCTCTTTGGGTCTCACGCTCCTCCTCCTTTAGGGGGCGGGGCTGCGCTCCCCTCTGCTTCCCGGTTCCTCTTTGGGTCTCACGCTCCTCCTCCTTTAGGGGGCGGGGCTGCGCTCCCCTCTGCTTCCCGGTTCCTCTTTGGGTCTCACGCTCCTCCTCCTTTAGGGGGCGGGGCTGCGCTCCCCTCTGCTTCCCGGTTCCTCTTTGGGTCTCACGCTCCTCCTCCTTTAGGGGGCGGGGCTGCGCTCCCCTCTGCTTCCCGGTTCCTCTTTGGGTCTCACGCTCCTCCTCCTTTAGGGGGCGGGGCTGCGCTCCCCTCTGCTTCCCGGTTCCTCTTTGGGTCTCACGCTCCTCCTCCTTTAGGGGGCGGGGCTGCGCTCCCCTCTGCTTCCCGGTTCCTCTTTGGGTCTCACGCTCCTCCTCCTTTGACCGGGCGGGGATAGGTGGGTGTGGGGGGAGGCAGGGGCGGCGGGGACGGGCGGGGCAGGCCGGGGCAGGTTCTAGCGGCCGCTCTGGAAACCCTTTCTCCCGCCGGGGGCTGCAATTTTCCTACGTCAGCGCGGCGGGCGCGATGTCGGGAGCGCGCTCGGACCAAGGGCCGAATTGCGTCAGTGCCGCGCGCGCGCTCGCACCCGGGCGCGCGCATCCCGGCCAGCCCTGGGGCCACCACAGGGTTGGAGAGCTATGGAGGAGGCGGAGGCAGAGGCGACGCGGTGCTGAGAGGACCCGCGGGATCTGCCGAGATGAAGCGAGACGCAGTGCAGCAGAAGCAGGTTCCCCAGCAGCAAAGCCGCCTGGCCGCACAGCAGCACGTAACTCAGCGGCCACCCGCCCAGCACCATCTCCTCAGGCCCGCAGGTGCAGACCCGGCCTCGACCCCGAGCCAGCCGGCCCCGCCAACCCCAGCCCTGCCCGCTCCGGCCTTCGCGTAGCCCCGCCTCGCCGCCAAGCAGCCAATGGGCGCGCAGCTCGGCGCTCCGCTCGCCCCGTCAGCCAACCAGAAGCGGCTGGGCAGGGGGCGGGGCTGCGCTCCCCTCTGCTTCCCGGTTCCTCTTTGGGTCTCACGCTCCTCCTCCTTTTGCTCTAATCGGCTCCCTCGACCCCGAAAGTAGGCGGGGCTGGGGCCGGGGGGCGGGGCGGCGGTGACGGGCGGGGCAGGCCGGGGCAGGTTCTAGCGGCCGCTCTGGAAACCCTTTCTCCCGCCGGGGGCTGCAATTTTCCTACGTCAGCGCGGCGGGCGCGATGTCGGGAGCGCGCTCGGACCAAGGGCCGAATTGCGTCAGTGCCGCGCGCGCGCTCGCACCCGGGCGCGCGCATCCCGGCCAGCCCTGGGGCCACCACAGGGTTGGAGAGCTATGGAGGAGGCGGAGGCAGAGGCGACGCGGTGCTGAGAGGACCCGCGGGATCTGCCGAGATGAAGCCCGGCGCGGGCTCGGCCTCCGGGACCTTCTGTCTCCAGTGGTTGCTGCTGTTTGGCCCGGCGGGCCCAGTCCTCGGCGGGGCGCGGCCAGGTGCGTGTCGCCTCAGGGTCCCTCGGGGTTGTCGTTTCCCTGGGCTGAGGCGCTCGGAGTGAAGCCGCGGCGCCCGGCAGCGCGGGGGCCTGGTTCGGGGACGGGACCCGGGGCCGGAGGCGGAGCCGCAGATGAGTGTGGCCGTGTGGACAGCGCTGAGAGCCGCGGCTCGGGGCCGCGCTGCCGGGACCTTGCT